CCCTGACATAACACTGCACTGATATAACACTGCCCTGATAAAACACTCCCCTGACATAACACTGCACTGATATAACACTGCCCTGATAAAACACTGCCCTCATATAACACTGCACTGATAGAACAATGCACTGATACAACAATGCCCTGATATAACACTGCCCTGACATAACACTGCCCTGATAACTGCCCTGATACAACACTGCCCTGCTGGCTCAGACTAGCTCTTCCACCCTCTGCTGCTGGATGAGCACCGGGCCACAACAGCAACAGTGACCATCCCAAAAGAGCCCAGGCTGAAGCAGCAGGGGCATCCAACTTGCTGACAGTTCCCTCCGCTGGAAACAGCATCAAGAAGGAATTCCAATTGGCTCTCCTGCTTTGAAGAGACTTAGCTTCTCTCTTTTCCCTCTTTTAATAACACAAAGTAAGCAGATGTTTGAATTTGCTAGGGTTTCAGAAAGACTCAAATGGTAGTTAACCTAAACAAAGAGACCTAGTTATTCACAGAGACCACTGTAGACTTCTAACATGAATAAAAACATTATGGATCATGAAAATCCATATAGTGTTAGAGTCAAGAACTGAATATATTCAGCTTACATTTTCCATTTCGAATTATAAAACCTACCAGAGATGAGTATGGTCAGAATTTTAGATTCTTAGTTTGTGTGGTAAAGCATATTCAACAGCCACAGAAAAAATGAGGCCCCCACATTTGGGGTTTCTTATAAAGCAGCTCTTCTGTAATGACTTAGAGTTCCATGTGGTTGTGATATTTCCAGAATGAAGGACTAAGTCAATCCTGATGAAACTTTGAAAGATGCCACCAAGACTAAGTGTTTCAAAGCCAACACTTGGACTGCTAAGTCGTTCCCTGTGTTTAGGGGGAGTGATTGTGTGATTGGCAGTGAGGGTGGAGAGCAACCCTTCACAGTAATGCAGATGGGCATATCGTCTCCTGATTACATGTGAAGGAGGATGGGGTCTGCAGAAAACCTCCTGATGCATTCAGACACACAAATCATCCCAAGAAGGGGGCTAACTTATTTTCTCTTGAACTCTAGTAGGAAATTTCCCATGCCATAATTGTATTTGTTATAGTGCAATGATCAAAGTCAATAAATTCCTCCATCTATCCCCATTCAGGGAAACCATATGGCATTACTAGGGGAATCACATGTAATGCGGGTTTGTCGCAGACATGATTAAATAGCTGTGGGGGAAGGGAACACTAGGGAAAGCAAATGCATTTAAAAGAAGAGACTAAATGCATGGATTCCAAGACACACGTGGGTATACTCCATTCCCAGAAGATGTGAAGTGGTAGAACTATACAGAACACACCGCAAGATGATCATGAAAGGAAAAGAGGATGGATTCCTGAAACAAACGTGATCTCTCTCAGCACTGTGCACAGAGAAATCGTCTAGATCCTCATCAGAAGTTAGGGATTCCAGGAGGCAGATACATCCAGCCTAAAGGCCAGTGATGGTCAGACATCTCTGATATCCAGAGCTCTGTTTTGGTACAAGGAAAATGTCACAATTTCGTGGTAAACAGGAGGTGGCCTTTTTGAACATTTCAGATTGTAATTCACACAATCAGTGGTGATACAAGGAAACAAGTACTGTTAAAGTGAATGGATAAATTTTTGGAAACACAGTTGGCTCATATTCATCAAAATTTGTGATTTGCAGACAAAGGTCCCATAAGTTCAACTCTAGAAATTTATCATACGTAAGAACAAGCATGAGATACAAAGATATAGTCTCATGAGGGTCCATTACTGCATTTTTTCATTCTAGCAAAAGCATGGGTCCAATTTGAAAGTCCAGCAGTAGAAAAAAGGCAGAGTGAATTCCAGTCAATAATAATATGTACCAGTAAGAAGAAAGAAAGAAGGTGAATTTACCTATTTTGGGACACAGTATTTTTGGAGCATTGATACACTTCATCAGTGTTTGCTTTAAAAATGTTGAGAAATGTACATAATAAATTGATCTCAGTAATAAGCCCTTGAAAAGTGATTTGAAGAAAAAAGGACTTTAACAATATAGACAATAAAAGTTACCAATTTTAGTGAATAATTCAGTGAGTTAAGACGAATGTATACAGTCATGTGACCACCGTCATAATCATGATATAGAAGATTTCCATCACCCCTAAATCTTGTTCTTACCCCTTTGCAACCCCAGCCCTATTTTCTGAGCCCTGGAAATGCTGATATAATGATATGTGTTGCTAATTTTGCTTTTTCTTGAATTTCATATAATCATAGAAATTGGAATTTTTGCATTTGGGTTTTTCCATTTAGCATATTTCAAAGCTTCATCTATATTGTTGTGTGTACCAATACTGTCTTCCTTTTTATTGTCAAGCAGTAAATAATGTGTTGTGTGGATGCACTGATTTGTTAATCTATTCACCAACTTACAGGCATTTAGGTTCACCTCAGCTGTGACAATTATACACCAAACTGTCTGATTCCAGTATAGCCCTGAGAACACACATGTTCATTTTAATTGGATATACACCTAGGAGTGGAACTGATGTTAAAAATGTTACATTTCATTGATTTTTCTGTATGTTTTTTCTTTCATTAATTTCTGCTTTAATCTTTATTATTTCCTTCTTCTGCTTGCTTCTTGTTTGTCTTTTTTAATTTCTTAAAGTAGAAATAAAAAATGAATGCTTTAAATTTCTATCTAAACAGTTTTCAATGCCTTCATCTTTTGATATGCTGTTTCGCTTTTATTCAATATAAAATAATTTCTAGTTTTCCTTGTAATTCTTCTTTTTACTCATTTTTTTCAGTACTTTAATTTCCAAATGTTTGAAGATTTGCCCAAATAGATATTTTTTTGTTGTTGGTTTCTAATTTAAAATTGCTGGGATTAAAAACTTAATTTGTATTACTTCAACCTTTTAAAATGTATTTAGATTTAATTCATGGTCCAGAATATTATCTTAGTAAAGTATATGTTCCATGTATACTTGAAAAGAATTCTGCTGTTGTTAAATGAATTATTCTATAAATATGAGTTAGTTAGGTCCATCAAGTGGCTAGTGTTTAGTCTTCTTTCTCTTACTGATATTTTGTCTACTTATCCTATCAACAAAGAGGGCTGTTAAAACCACCAACTATAGGACCAGGGATTTAGCTGCTCCACAAGCGCAAGGACGTGAGTTTGATTCCTGGTAACAAAAAAGAAAAAATCAACTATAATTGTAATTGTTGGTTTCGCTAACTCTCTTTTAAAATTTCCAACTATAATTGTCTAGTTCTTTCATTTCTATTAGATTTCATTTTATCTGTTTTGCTCTTTTATTATATGTATTAACATTTAGGCTCAAGTCTCTTAATGAATTACCATTTCATCATTATAAAATGTTCCTGTTTCTTTATTCTGAAATCTACTTTGATGTTAATATAGCAACTCCAATTTTCTTTTGATGAGCATTTGCATAGAATATTTTTGCATCCTTTTATCCTATGTTGCTATAAATTGGGTTTCTTATAGAGAGCATATCTTATTTTATTTTAGATCCAATATAATAATCTTTGGCTTTTAACTGGCATATTTAACCTAGTGTTGTACAATGTGGTAGTTTCTAGCTACATGTGGCTAAGGAGCACTTAAAATATTACTAGTATAAATTGCAGTGTGCTTCGAGTAAAAATTACATAAAAGATTTTGAAGACCTAGCCTGAGATGAAAAACAGAAAATACATTTCTAATTTTTATATTAATTGCGTATTGAAATAATGTTTTAGATATTTTAAATTGACTAAAATAAAGTATTAAATTTAATTGCACATTATTTTACTCCATGTAATGACTAGAGAAAATGAAATTATAAGTGTGGCTCATAGTTCACAAGAGCTAGTTTAGATTACTTACATTACACTGTCAATATAGTTGGATTTAAATCTCCTACACTGATACCTATTTTCTTTTTGTCCCACCTGAAATTTTTGTCTTCTCTCTTTTTGGACTCACTGAAGATTACTTTATCTCATCTTATCTCTAGGATTGGTTTATTAACTATACCTTTTTTGCAGTAGTTGCACTAAGATTTACAATATGTATCTTAATTCAGGACAATCTACTTCTAAATAATATGAATCATTTCACGTATATTGCTAGAATCTTACTGCAAACAACCTATTTATTCCTTCTTGCCTTGTACTTTTGTTGTCATATCTTTTATTTTACATAAGCCCCACTATAAATTATTTTTGCTCTAAACAGTTCATTATCTTTTTAAGGTTCATATCTTTTTATTCAATATCATTCTATCTCTATAAATCTATCCTGAAGATTTAACCAAACATGCCTTCAACAGATTTTCCATGGAAGGCTATTTATTCAAGTGAAAATATAGCAACAACCTGAATGATATATTGTAGATGAATTGTTTAATTATTGTGCATACTTACAACAGAACATTTGACAGATTTTAAAGTATACATTTCAAAGACATTTAGGCTCAGAAAATGCTCAAAATCTAAGAATAAGAGAATATAAGCAAAAATGCACATTCCTTATAGGGGCCGCGAAACTGTTTATACTTGAGAGAGAAAGGAGGGGAGAAGGAGCAGAAAGATACATGCATAATATAGTAGGTAATTTTTTATTTTTTCTCCTGATACATGTATTCAAAATTTTTCCTAATTAGACGTGCAATATTGATTTCAGGAAATATTTTTTCATTTGAGGATGCAAATTATATAATGTCTAAAATATTACTGAATTTTAATTTCATTGTGAACTTTCTTTATGTAATATATCCTTTCTACATTGTTGTATTTGCAGTTTTTCTGAGTTCTGATAAACTCCAAGATGAATATTTGCCTATTTATCCCTCAAAACATATAAAAGCCCATTACTCTTTCAAGAGATTTAAGTAAAATAAGTCATCTTCCTCATAAAAATATCATTTTCCAGAGATCTTCATTCCTTTGTATAGGTCCAGATTCCTCTGATATCCCTTTTTTCTGCCTGAAAGATATCCTTTAATAATTCCTGTAGTGTAGATCTGCTGTTAGTGAATTTGTTTAGTTTTTGAATGTCTAAACTTGGCTTTATTACCTTCACTTTTAAATGGTCTCTTGACTATTTCACAGTGTTCTGAATTTTGTATCATTCCACTCTAGGCTTTTTGTATTTTCCATCTCTTCATTGTATTCATATTATCCTTTATCTTTTTAAACAGAGAATATATTTGTAATAACAGTTTTACCATTTTTATTTGCTAAGTCTAACATCCGGGTTATTTCTCAGTTTGGGATTTTTGTTTTGTTCTATCTTTTTTTAGCAATTGATTTCTCTCCTCATGGTTCTCATTTTCCCATTTCTTTTAACGTTTGATAACCTTCTGTTTGTATAATAAGCCTTCTAGGCTTATTCTAATATATATCTAATATATATCTTCTAAGATATTTTTGGTTGCTGGATTTTGTTATGTTATTTTTAAATTGTGATGCTTTTTCTGGGACAATTTAGTTATCATGAATCAATTTGATTCAACAAGAAAGAAGGATACGTACCAAAATTAGGCTTGAAAGCTGGGACCAGGTGGAACCATAACCTGTTGAGCTAATGGCCGCCTGGAGTCTAGCGCTCTTCATAGTGTAAGACAAACAGGAAGAGAAGACGGGGTAACTAATGCTACGTGGCCTATGTGGCCTAGGCTGAACTGATCCAGACATGCACAGAAGGGGAACAAGGAAGAAGGATACAATGTAACTGTCACTGGGGCTGTGCCATCCAGGTCTACAATCTTACTCAAACAGATCTGTCTGACTGTCTGCTGGTCTATGGAGGAGAAAGGGAGTAGGCAGGAGGCAAAGGACCATCTTCAGGCTGGGCCCGTGGCATCAGGGAAGACTTTTCACTGTGGCTAATGGAAACATAAATTATTCCGAGCCTGTCTAAACTCCAACGATTAATTATTCTACCTACATTTTACAGTGGCTCTTTTCTCATCCTGGAACAGTTTTCTCATATTTGTGCTTAAGGGACCCCTTGTTATAAATATTTGGAATTCTTAAGAATTCCTTCCTTTAAGTTGCTCATCACCAACTATTTTGTCACAGCAAGGAAAAGCTGACCAGCACAACCATGTTTAAAAACTTGCTTCAGGGGCCGGGGATTTAGCTCAGTGGCAACGTGCCTGCCTCGCAAGCACAAGGTTCTCAGTTCAATCCCCGGAACCGCAAAAAAATAAATATATAAAAATAGAAACTTGCTTCAGGGCCAGGGATGTAGCTCAGTGGTTCCACCACCTGCCTCGCAAGTGCAAGGTCCCAAGTTCGATCCCTGATACCAAAAAAAAAAAAAAAACTTGCTTCGTGTGCTTTGTTTCTCTGGTCTTACAGGTGTCAAAGGTAGAATGTCTATCTAGTCCTTGTTACTCTAAAACGGCCCATATAAAGATTATAATTTGTAAATAATAGAGATATAAGATACAGGCAACACCAAAATTCTCTGTTTCTTTCTGCTTTCCAATAGACTTAACCAACAGAAGGCCTGGGCTGTAAATTCCAGGGAAAGAAGAGACTGTGACTCATGCTCACATTCCCTTTTCCAGCCACAGCTTCAGTCATCGCTGAGTCCATCTATTTGTAGCCAGAGCAGGCCCTCTCCTGCGGCTGCCATCACTGCCAGGCTCTGCTGACACTTCTCCCTGTCCTGCGTCCGTCAGGCCTGGGGATGAAAATAAGCTGGCTTTCCATCTCTGCTGTTCAGTGGGTGCCTCACAACCCTTGGTGTTTTGTTTTCACGTCATCCTACCAATACCTCTGCAAACAGTGGCTTCATTAATCCCTCTTCAGTTCATCCTTCAATGGGTCATTCTTCTTCTGTAAGGAACTCCCACGACCCCACTAGCCACACGATGAATGCCCCACCTGGGAAATCATAAACTGAACATCCTAGCTCTCACCTCAACTGCCTGTCCTTTGAGTTCTCTGCTTCCACAACTCCTAATTTCCCTGTTCTTTCTCTAATCCCTTGCTCATTCCCTTCTCCTGCTTTCCCGCCTTTCTACCACTGTCTGGCTTTATTTTTTCCTACTTCCAGCCTAGATACAATTAGTCATCATATCACCTACTTTGATGTCACCCCTTTCAAATGTTTTTCTCCATTTCTATTTCTGACTTTTCAGCTTGGTGATGGAGATTTTGAACATGCTGAGCCTTTCTTTATCTTTATAATGAAGAGTTGGACAGCATCGTGGTGTGATAGCCATTGTCCCACAGGGGCACTTTGAGGATGAAAAGAAGAAGCTATTAATTATTACACCAAGACAACAGGACTAAGGAGAGTGGGCATGTGAAACCGTGGCTCTACAGTGTCTTCCAGCTCTGGAAAGCTGTTTTTATATCACACATGTTCATTCAAGAGAGTGGATTTGTCATGATCTGGAGGCTTACAATACACTTTGCTTAGTGCTCACAACAAAATATTTGAGAAAACAAAAAGAGTAAGAAATTAAATATACAGAGGTAAGGGTCATGAGATGTGAGGACACTGCAAAAGAGGATTCACAACTGCGTGTTTCTTTCCAAATATCAGGCTCATGCGACAGGTGCCTTCAAGGAAGGCCTTGTTTCTTCTAACGTGCCAGTTAGGAGGAATTCACACAGCAATCTGGGTTGGGTATGGGTGGAAAATCTGGCGCCCTCCTGCCTTCTTGTCCCTTCACTTCGATTCTCGGTTTTCAGTTTCAAGCCACACAGAGCGGATGCTGTGCTTGTGTGCTGCCTCCCATCCCACAACAAAAAACCCTCTCCAGTGAGCAAGTATGGTCACCATGGCAGCTGGGGGTCATAAACTCCTGAGCTGTGGGTCTTGGCACAATTCCATGCATTATCTACATTCTGCCGCAAATCAGTCCCTTTATCTAATTAGTAGCCTTACAAATAGCCACCTGCCCCACAGCTTAAACATTAAAGATGCAATATGGGCTGAATAGCTCGAGACAAGGGGCGAGGATACAGAAAACTGAAAGCCGATCTTGGTGGGGCCGGTCTCTCCTGGCTATAGACACCTGCAAGCCCGGCCCACCCACGGAGCAGAAGTTCAAAGGGGGGCTGGGAACAAATCGCTTCTGTCTTCTTTTCACGACTCACCTTGGGTGTCTCCTGATCCCCTGGCCTCCTGGATGCTGGGCCTGCTGACCTCTGCTGGAAGGACCTCCTGGAGTCTTCCCTGCCTCTGAGTTTCCTACCTGCAGGCCAGGAGGAGAGAGCGAGCCCCGTCTCTCTCTAGAAACTGTGCCACTGCCTTGGCTGGCTGAATCCACACCCTGACCTGGACATTTTAGAAACAGCCCCTGACTCACCACAAAGACTGGGTCCTTTCTGACTTGGTTAAAGGCAAACCCTTGCTCTTGTTGGATCATACTCCAGATTCACATTATCAGCTGTTTCCTGATGTGCATCTCTTTTTCCTCCAGTTCCAGTAAAGAATTCTAGAAACAAAAAAAAAAAAGTATTGTATTCAAACTTTACTATAGCGAAACAAATATCTTTCTACATTCGTTTTACAGATAATGAAGAATCTAAATGTTCAAAAAGTTGAAACCAGTGCATTCTGAAAGTATGGAGCATTAGCCTTTTGCATCCTGACCTGAAGAATTCAGTTAATGTTGTGGAGTCACCTTTGAAAGTTTCTATTACAAGAGCAAAAGAGGACACAAAACCCCATTTTATGCTTGAAAATAACTGGGGACTATTTGTTCCATATGTGCAGAGTAAGTTCATGTCTCACTACAATTTCATTGTCATGTAATAATTTTAAATTTCTTGTTTTTTATTGTAATGGTTTATGAGAATATATCTAATATAAATCAGTTAAACTAGGGAGTGATTATGCTTACTATGCTGACAATTGGTTAAGTGTGAAAGCTGTAGGGAAAAGAATCTCAGCGGTAGAAAGTTCTTACTACATCTCGTCTTCTTTTCGAAGCTCAAGCTATAATATCTTTGCTTCGCTCTCAGATTCGTCGCTCCAGTTTGCAGTGATATTGAGCCATAGGTCTTCTCCTGGCCCCTCTGATATGCTATTCCAGAGGCTAGCAGATCTAAGGGACACAGGCTTCTTAATATTCAGATCGAGACTCTCTTCTTGACATTCCCATTGTTCTTACTTGTAAATTTATATTTGTTAAATAAAATACCTCCAGGGTTTCTGAAAAGAAGTCAGTGTTTCACATCCGTGCAAGCACAAAATGAGCCATGCCAGCATTCTCTCCCACCCACTGAAGCTCCCCAAGCCATGCCAGGAGCACCAGATTAAATAGTTGTGCTGGGAACCAAATCCCAAAGACTCCTTGTTTAGGCCTCTTTTGAGAAGGAAGGAACTGCAAAACAAGAGCTATCTTTGTGAAAATTTCTATTCTTCTTCTCTAACCTTCTTAAGTAAGGGTTGCCACCACTGTATTCAATATAAATTGAAACATTCCTCTGTGAATTTGTCTCTTTGGCCAATTCTAACAATTCTTACCTGGCATTAAATTTAATCTTATGAAACGAAAGTCTTCAGTACTCAAAGAGGTGAAATCTTTCTGGCAAATAGTATCTGTTCAGTGCCTCTGTTGTCTGGTAGTTCCTTTAGCAATGGTTCGCCAATCCAAAGTAGTCCAGGTCCTTCTTGCCTGGAACAAAGAATTGGATGAGACAAGCCAAAAATGTGGCCAAAAAGTTTATTTGAAAAGTGCTGGCTGAATGGATATGGGAGAAACTAACTCTGCAGAGAGAACGTGGGCAGAACAGGAGAAAAAGAAGATAAAAGCAAAAATAAAAGTACACGCTGCGTCTGAGAAACACAACGAAGGATATGGGAATTCACCACAGCGAGGTTCCCAGGGCGTCCGGACTTCCTTTATGTCGTCCACATCTCGTGGGAGCTCGCGAGAAGTTCTACATACGGGGTTCTGGCCTTGCTCTGGGATCCTGCAATTGATCGCTCATTTCTCCAGCCGACTTTGCCACGTCCGAACTCCTACATCCCTTCTCTGCAGACTTTAAACTCCAAGAGGACAGGGAGCATTCAAACTTAGTTGCCACTCCATCCTAGTGCATAGGTTTATAAAAGGGACTGAGTGTCCAATGATCTCTTCATTGCTTAGGAACTATGAATAACAATTAAAATTCTGTGGCTTTGAGAATTTAAAATTAGCATTTATATTCCCAGTAATCCCTTGTAATGTATACCACACTATGGTCAGTTAATGCATGATAACAGTGTTTGGCCATCATACAACAATGGAAAAGACAGGATTGCTGAATCTGTGACTCTAAATATTACAGAAAATGAAAGTTTCACCAATATCTGACTTGAAACTGGTTGAGTTACTCCGAGGAAGTTACATACACCCAAAACACCTGACTCAGAAACACCTGAGGAAAATCTGTAATTCATCACATAGGTGGTCTTTGGGAGGTAGCTTTGGGCTTACTGATAATCTTCTCAACTTGTCCAGCTTATCATTATGATTCATAAACAGAATTTTTGTTCCTGCACACTGTCTCATCTACCTCTGCAAAGCACACAGAGGATGCAGTAGAGCGGGCAAGAATCCAAAGAAGGTCTGTGGTTTGGAACTGGCCCGAGCCAAGCTGACACCAAAGAGCACCATGACCCAGAGCTGGAGTAAAGTCACTGGCTCTGAGTCACGGGCTCTCTGAACTCACTGGTTGTGTGAGTTGCTTTAGGAGAGAGGCATACAGCCAGGGATTACTCACATTATTAAACTGCGTCCATTCCAAGGTCATAGAGAACTTCCTGGTGAGCAGAAAGCTGCAGTGATTCCCCTGTCCCCATCCAGGATTGAATGTGAATTCCCCTATAATTTGTCTTTAAGAGCATTACCTGGACCTACAGGGTCCCTTTCCCCCACACCCTTCCCCATTGCTACTGAGCCCTTCCAGCAGATCTAGGAAACCGGGATCTGAGATCTAGTACTGCCAGGCCTTTTCTTCCTGAAGCCCAGCCTCACAGAGCTAGCACAGCTGGTGGTGTGCACCCCCCGCAGCCTCATGAGGCAAGAGGAGTGGGCAGATGGAGAGGAAGACAGTTTCTGCACAAGACGACAGCCCGCCTCATTCCGGGTGACTGACTGGGAAAACAGACTGTGGCATTAGCTCCCTCTGATTTGTCCCCAAGGACTTTGTTTCCTCCACCAAAACACTGTGTGTGGGCGGGAACCATCTACTCTCACGTGTTTGGTAAGCTTTTAAAGATAAATTCGCTGATCACTGTCTTGATTCATGTATTTACTCTCTAAGAACATAGAACTTAGTACAGCCTGATTGACCCATAAAATAAAGACCAGACAGAGAGCACACAGGCAAACAATCCTAAGGGCCAGGGTTCCAGAGTCTGTCCAGCTGTGTGAATGTGAACTGAGAAGCTTTCTTGGGTCAGTCTTTTATAGGAGGAAGATGAGGCCACGTTTCTAAGATCACTTCTACGTTCAAAATTATGATTCTCTGCTCCTGGTAATTGATTCCTATGAATGGTATTATGTAAGCTAAGAAGAAAGCAGGTTGTAGGAAATTCAATAATAGTGATTTGCTCATAATAATGAGCGACGGACGTCAGTGGGAATTTGCTGCTCTTCTCTGGCATCCTGGAGGAACTTGTGAAAGCAGAGGTTGTTTCAGTGTGTAGGAAAGTCTGCAGAGCAGGAGGGTACAGGCGTCCTAGACAGGAGTATGTAGCCAAGGATACAAATAAAGCCTAAGTGTGGAGGAGAAGCTTTGAAGGAAACTGTCGCAGAAACGAGCAAATACAGGCATAAGTAAGCTCCTAGGAAACAGAGCAAGGGGTTTGCACTAGAAGCTGAGGGCCCCGCCACGTTGGAGCAGAGGAGAAGACACAAGTCCACGGCAGCTTGTTGTACTTGTGGGCACGAGTGGTGCCAGTAGACATGGGGAGGGGGGGCAGCAAGCATTGCGGGAATCCATCCTTACTATTCCTGCCATTTATCAGCCCTCGGACTCCAGGGCCCCTGCAGTGGGGCAGCTCTGACCAGCCTTGCTTCGCAGTGTGACTTCTTCCTCCACCCTGTCCTGCTCCTGCCTTTTCTTCTCACAAGAACTGACCCAAGTCCACATCCTCAACTCCGTCCTCCAGCCCAGTGGCTGCTTTCAGAGAACACAGCTGTGCCACAGCCGTCCATACTCAATTTATGGGACGACTCATTGGGTGGATGAAGTGGGACGAATGGAGCACTGGGAAAGATTCCTTTCCTGTGCCCTAAAACATGCCCACCAGTGGCGGGTGACAGAAATTCTACGATTAGAGAAATGTATTCAGTTGTTTTAATGTGTCTGTGTTTGTGAATACCCCTGAAGAAAAGAGAAAGCTAATTATCCACAGTATAGAGAAAGTACTTCCTCCCCTCGGCTCTGATATCCTCAAGGGCATTCTGTCTTAGTCTTCTTTGCAACCTTCTCCATCCATTATTTTTTATTCATTAAACAAATATTCAGTGCATATCATGTGCCAGACCCTGTTCTGGCATTCACTGGAGTAAAACAGTAAACAAAGTTCCACCTGTGGGAGCTGATATGCTGGCTGTTTATTTGGACAATCATAAGGTATGGAAATATTCACGATATTGTCCCCCAGCAGTGCTGGTGGTCACACTGAGGCCCTCATGCAAGATAGGCACGCACCCTACCACTGAGCCACAGCTAGCCCCAAAGTACTATGAAGAATTGTCCCAGTGTTCAGCAAGTGTCTATTCAATTAACACATCTACCCAAAGGAAACAAGAAATAAGAGCCAAAAGGATAACAACGGATATTTGTATTTTTCTCCTTGCTCAACTCAGAAAAGAAGAGCTAGGCAGGACCCAGGAGAACAGGGGAAGTTATCCTCCATGCTCCGTCATTCAGAAACCGAACATAGTGAGGCAGAGTTCACCAAACTCAGAAGGGCAAGGTAGTCACAGGGGTCACCTCAAGGTAAACATTATCCACTGTGCTGAATTTTCACAGCAGATTTTTTCATCCCTGTGGTGATAGCAGTAAAGCTCCCAGTAAGATCTTCTGTTTATCACGATTATTATCACCATTGCTATTTCAGACGAGCATGCCATATTCACTTGAAGTCCACTCAGTGCCTCTCTCATTCCTTCTCTAGATCTCCTCCTTCTAGATCGCTGTTTGAAATATTTCCTTATGGGTATATCCACTTTCTAATACAAGGATTCACAAACTCGACCTCTCCTTTGGCAGCAGAATTGATGCGGAAAAGTATCTTCTACCCTCAGACAGCTAAAGAATGCCAGGTTGCTGCAAGACACTTTAAATCTGTGTGTGCAGCCATTTGACACAGAGAAAGTTTCTTCCTTTCCCTCAACGTCTCTCTCCTAAGGCTGACCTTAGAATCTGGAGATCACTTCACATCATCGTACATTGGTTTCCATTCAGCAAACCTGTCGGGTGTTACATGATGGTGTCGTATCCAGGGTAGTTGCTGTTTTTATGCTTGCAGGTGGACTTGGAAGAAGGCAGACTCACTCTAAGGACCCTGTGCACAATGGCACCGTGCTGGCTTTCAGAACAGAGGTGGGTAAGACTTGCTGTCCTTTTCTTCATCCTCAACTTCCCATCCTTCTCCCTGAAATTGTCCTCCACCACGACCACTCATTGCTCCCATGCCATTCTATCTATCTAGGGTTTCTTTCTACCAATGCACATCTTTGCTCTTCTGTTTAATTGCCAAGCTTTGAAAGGGGAAAAAAAATTATTTCCTATCTCTGTACTCTGTCGTTTAACATCTCCTCCCTCTCACCCTTGTTCTCACCCACTCACCACATCCCCAACTCACCTCTGATCCCCACAGGTCCCTATAGCATTTCATCACTAACTTGGCCTGGGTCAGAGGAATGATTCACGGACCCATAAAACTCAGTGGAGGAGACCTGAAAGGTCAACTAATTCAACCACTCAACTAAGTGGAAAAATCAGCTCTTATTTTCATTCTTTCTTCCTGCTCTTCTCAAATTCAACTACACACTTAAGAACAGTGCCTCTAGTTGCTATGGAACTCCTTGCTTTGGGCATACTTTTAAACAAGGTAGGTTTGTTTCTCTTTCTGACATGGTTTAGGTAGAGTCCTGCCAGCAGTAGGTGTTACATTACAGTTACAGCAACTTTCAGAAGAGAAATGATGATTCTGAAACCTGCAAACTTCACAGTGTAGAGTTGGTCACTCCTCCAATAGGAGTTCAAAGGTGAGCATATCATTTCATTTATTCCATTTATTCCATGGGCAGTGAGGTATTGTTCTGTTAAAATAGTATTATTGGAAAAAAAATTTTTAAAGCCAGGGATTTAGCTCAGTGGTTTCGCCACCTCCTGCACAAGCACAAGGACCCGAGTTCGATCCCCGGTACAAAAAATAATAATAAAATAGTATTGTTGGGATGGAAATTAGAATGATAGACTCAAAAACTAATATATGGTAAAGGTGTATTTGAAAACTCTGGGGCAGATTTTTGACTTAAATAAGTGGAACAATGGGCCATTAGAAAATCATATCTATACCTGACACCCTAAGAATAAATTGTAAATGAAGTAAGTTATCTAAATGTAAGAATGAAATCCTGAAGGCACTAGAAGAAAGTGTGAGTAGATTCCTTGTTAACTTGTGTGTAGGCAAAGGCTTTCTGTCTTTAAATCCAGATACAATAAAATACTGATAAATATACTGATGTAATTTCAAAAATAAAATAGCATGGCAAGAAAACCAAAACCCATTTTACAAATAAGATCGAGATAACTGAAGAACTGGAGGAAAATATTTGGAGCACATATTCTTTTTATATCCATACACACCACACAGAGAGAGAGACATAAAAGTAAAGATGGC